GGCCGGCGTGACGTTCGTGAGGCGGCTCCTGACCTTACAGTTCACGGACCGGTTTCTGCTTCGCTGGCGCTGCAGCGGTTGCCGACGCGGCCAGCCGCGAGCGCCTGGCTCCCCGTGACTGAATAGACCAAACAACGAAGGAAAACGTGCGCGCCGTTTTCGGTCGTGTTTAGCCATTCGTGCTTTCTCCGTCAAGACAAATAGAGGGCGAGCGGTCGGGCGGCGGTGCGGTCGATCGTCTTCATGAATCACGCACCGCAGCATCGGCGGCCCATCCGCCAGCCGTGAGTCAGCCCGAGCCGTGCCGTGCCGTGGCGGGGCCGCCGTCTGCGTGTCGGTTCGTGGAACGGCGCAGCGCTTCCCCGGCGCGGCCGCCCAGCGCGTGCGGGTGCCGGCTGGACAGCGACCGATCGGCGGTACGGGTCGCGCCGCCGCCTTGTCCCCGTCGTCTTGCAGAGGGCTCGGCTGCGGTGGTGCTGGTGGGGGGGGGGGGTGGGGGGCTGCGACTGCGGCTGGTCCAGGTCGCGCCAGGCCCTCTCGAGGGCCGGCGGGGGGGGGGAAGAGAAGGCCGCCGCTGTTAGTGGGCCGTGTGTCGCGGCAGCATGCGTGTCCCGTCCTCGCCGGTCCGGGAGCCGATCTGCTGCGCAGTCGGCGGCGGGCGGGCGGGCTGATGGGCCGAACGCCTTATAAGGCGCGTCGGCCCCAGCCCATCGCGTTTCCAATCGGCGAACGCCTCCGCGGTGCCTCGGCGCTGTGACGGAGACGGAGGTGGGAGCGGGCCGCCGCCCAGCTCGGCGAGGGAAGCGCGGCGGTGGCTGTACCAGGCGGCGCCCCGGACTGCTCCCCGCCGCGCGACCGGGCCGGCCAACCACCGCCGATTTGTCTTGCGAGCAGGAAAGCGAAACGTTTGGCGTACCGATTGCGTCGATTGGCCCCCGGCGTTGTCATTTTTGGGGAACGGCGTGGGCGTAATTTTCCTTGATTTATCGCCCCGCCGCTTTCTATATGGGCTCGCCCAGGAAAAGGACGATGTGTTTGCGCTCTGGCTCAATAGGGGTCTGTTGAAGGCACTTCATATCATGTTTCTTTTCGTTGATCTAAATCCCGCCCTTCCGTCTTTTAAACGTCGCGCACAAAGTGCCTTCAGGCTGCGTACGACGTTCTGTCTCCGGGAGAGACCCCACGCAAGAATGCTTTTTGTGGGCGTTAATTGAGACCATCTCCACCGCCAATGGCCCTCGGTTAATATCACTTCACATCAATCAAGTTTTTTAAGCTCATTTGTGAAGTGCATTCAGACCATTGACGCGTCGTGTTGAATAATTAATTACCCACTAAATCTTCCGGGAAATAAGCAATTTAGAACGGCCCCGGCGAGCGGAGTGAATAATCACAGGGGACGAACTGTCCCGGACCTCCTTTTTGAATGACGTCGGCGGCCTACGACTTGAGAAACAAAACGATAGAGAGAAACGAATCGCTGCTTTGGGTCTCCGTAAACGGTTTACCTACCACAGCCAATTATTCTTCATTGCGACCCGCAGCTACGCCCGGCTGGCCATTAGCTGTCCATAACTGGACGCCCCGCCGTTTCGGCCGTTATCAGCTGGGCCGCCCAGCGCCGGTCGGCCAGCTGGCGTTTGCGTTTTTTGGACGCCGGCTCTGTCATCGTCCGCCGACACCGGCTCGCCACCGTCCGGGTCACGTGCTCGCCGGCGACCGGCCGGCGACGGGTCACGTGACCGGCGCGGGGCCCGCACGCTCGTCGTCGGGCCGGTTCGTTAACGGGACGGACGGCGATTTATGTGCCGGGACGGCCAGATAACGCGGGCTGGCGCGCTCGGGATGACGGACCGGGCCGGCGCCCGGTCGCCGGGGCGGATGGGCGGGGAACGAGATGAGCTCGTCACGCTCCCCGCCAGCTACCCTCGCCGGGGTCATGCTGTATCGGCTCGGCCTCAGGTCAAGGTACACGAACATGCCGCGGAGGCCGGCCAAATAGGCTCAGTTTATCCACATGGATAACGTTTCAGAGAGATGTCCAATGGAACTGTGGCGCTCGAATCTCTCCCTAGCGTGGGTATACACTCCGGAGAGAGACCTGTAATGAATAAGCCAACAGCGAACGTAAGTAACGCCCGCG